TTTCCAGGAAGGATGTTGGTCACATACTGTTGGTTCAAATCCCAGTAAGTATATAAGAATATATCAGCTAAAGTGAAGAAGTATTTATAAAAATCAGTGGTGAGTGACGACTGTCCCTCAGGCTATTTTATTCTCATCTCTGCTTGAGGTGTTAATTGTTTTTGTGCTGTTTATTTCCAATGGGGGATGCAAGTACAACATCCATTATTCATTTCCTCCAAGTGCAGTCATAAACAAATATAGGTTGCATAATGTCCTAGATAAAAAAAAATAAAAAAAATAAAAAACGGCTTTCCTAAACTTTTTTGTTGTTGTTGTGTTTGGAGGACGGTTTGATCTGACCTTGATTTTTGGGGTCAGGTTGATGTTGGCAACCTCCAAGCAGGTGTTCCAATCAGTTTGGCTTAATACGCTGATAAAGTGGAAAAAGGCTGGGTAAAATGAAAGGGCTTCACAGATACAAGATCCAATTCAGTCGGGCAAATCACATAACATCACACCATTGCAGACACTGAGTTCAGTGAATGAAAAGTGAATTATTCAAATGAATGATTCATCTTCATTATTCATTTTTCTATAAATTATGTTGGAGTGAATATGATCATACTACTTTACCAAATGATGTCTGTCATGATAGACTATAGACTATAGGTCTTTTGTAACATTTTGACCTAATTTCAATTTTAGACTCTCTGTAATTTTGCTGAATTATTTATTTTCTCATTTCAGGCTGTTGTTCTGATGTTAATACGCAAAAATGAGTGTGTCATGGTGCAGTTCTACAGATCCAGAAAACTGACCCCATTGTAGACACACATGACTGAATTGTGGCTGAGGCCCTGTAGTCATATATCAAATGTTTGGTCAAGCAGTCACATGCTATTAAACTGATTTATAGTGAAGTTGTATCATATGCCTCTGATTCTTTTAAATGGGCCATTTTTCATTTTTCTTTTGTGCTAGCTGCAGCTTTCAAAATGTGCAAGTGTAACTGTATTTTTTATATTTATGGCCCCATTTGCATGCATATTGATTTATTTGTAGCATTTCAAGTTAATAAAATGAAATCAGCTCAGCATTTTTGATTACACATTCAACAGACATTTCCTTTGATGATTCTGATGTTGTCTCCAACATGATCAGCCCCAGCGGGCCAATTTGGCACAGCAAACATATTGAAATCTCAATGCTGAGTGTCCGTTCAGAGGACAGTAAAGGGACTTTTCTGGAAGGTAACAACCTTCCGGCTTTTAGCTGCCTGCCGCCATCAACATAATTAGGTTGAGCGGCAACATTTGACCCTCCTATTCGCATGTCCTTGGGAGAACTGATGGTTACAGATATTGACAAACAGAGAGATTGCTTTAGGGGTGGCGAGGGGTGAGAAAAGAGAGGAAAGGGTGTTCGGAAAAGATGACACTGACAGAGCTTATAGATTCATTGATGTCCCTCCACTCATGAATCCTCTGACCTTTTAATACTGGCTAAATTTGTTCTGTGTGAGCAAAGCCTTTTGTATTGAGAATAGAGTACTCTTAGTCCTATTTTTAGTTTCTTACTTTATCACGGTTGACTATTTGCTAAAGCAATTTGAACTTATCCATGGCGGACTGCCAAATGCTTCGTACATTCACACGTTTGGCAGCAGTGACGTGATCAACAGTACCATTATATCATGTATCTTTTCAGGAACGAAGCTATTGTATTGATTAAGTAGTTACACTACACTGAGCCTTTCAGCTAATGTTTCTATAGAGTAGTTTGTAGCTTAGCAATCTACATTTCTTTATGTAGCTTGCCCAGTTCTGTTTGGCAGATGCTTTTATTGAAAAGATGCTTTTTTTTTTTAGTCCATGCATTCACTGAAGTCAAACCCATGACCATGGCTTTGCTAACGCTGTTCTCTATTGTTTGGACTAGAAAAAAGCAATTTTGCAGCAATGCTTGTTTTTTTTATTATATATATATAAAAAGAGAGACACGACAACACACAGCTTCTAAACTGACACAGTAAATTACTGTTCGATCTACAAGCCATGTTTTCTTCTTTGGGTCAGCCTCTCTCTGTATGATATCACAACTTCGACTAAGCCTGGGAGTCAGTACCTTCTAAATGTTTAACTCTCACCACCTAGGGCTATCGGCACATTGAAGCAGACTAGTAGGCCCTTGATTTCTTTTTTTCCTGTTTGACCTCAGCCTTTAAATTTTTATGAACGTCACCAAATCCAGACAAGCACTTTCTATATCCTTTTATATGCTTTCCACGCTCTGTGGCATAAACTATGTGCACAGGACCCCTTTGGGAAGAATTATTTACCGTACATAACAGTGAATTATGACTATGTCTGAGATTTACAATGCATAGGGTTGCACTGATTCAGTGAATTTCACATACTGTATAGTTGTTGCCTGAATAAATGCTACATAATTGATGCACTCTGCCATATATTATGCAGCAACTGTCAACATGTGAAATCGACTGAAAAAATAATAAAGAGTTGCTATAAAGGACAATTTTATATGCTTTCCACGCTCTGTGGCATAAACTATGTGCACAGGATCCCTTTGGGAAGAATTATTTACCGTACATAACAGTGAATTATGACTATGTCTGAGATTTACAATGCGTAGGGTTGCACTGATTCAGTGAATTTCACATACTGTATAGTTGTTGCCTGAATAAATGCTACATAATTGATGCACTCTGCCATATATTATGCAGCAACTGTCAACATGTGAAATCAACTGAAAAAATAATAACAGAGTTTTCACACAAACATACAGGCTTTGAGCACTGGTGAGAAAACCTCTGAGTGATAATTAGCGATAAAGTGTTCAACTTACAGCTCTGACAGGGTGATGGAGAACCATTGGCCCATGAGAGCCCTCCGGGATCTTGACATCACAACAAGGAAGACAACATTAATTAATTCTCACATTAATTTTTTTTAAGCTGAGATACAGTAATTCTGTTTTTTTCTTGTTTTAACAGTTTTTTTGGTCAAATATTATAAACATTAAGTTATATCAATGAAAGAAAAAATTAAATCAATAGTTCACTGAAAAATTTTAATTGTGGATTATTGTGATGTTTTCTGCTGTTTGGACTCTCATTCTGACGGCACTGCTGTCTTTGGAGAAAACCAGAGTTTTCACACAAACATACAGGCTTTGAGCACTGGTGAGAAAACCTCTGAGTGATAATTAGCGATAAAGTGTTCAACTTACAGCTCTGACAGGGTGATGGAGAACCATTGGCCCATGAGAGCCCTCCGGGATCTTGACATCACAACAAGGACGACAACATTAATTAATTCTCACATTAATTTTTTTTAAGCTGAGATACAGTAATTCTGTTTTTTTCTTGTTTTAACAGTTTTTTTGGTCAAATATTATAAACATTAAGTTATATCAATGAAAGAAAAAATTAAATCAATAGTTCACTCAAAAATTTTAATTGTGGATTATTGTGATGTTTTCTGCTGTTTGGACTCTCATTCTGACGGCACCCATTCACGTCAGAGGATCCATTGGTGAGCAAGTGATGTAATGCTGAATTTCTCCAAATATCTTCCGATGAAGAAACAAACTCACCTACATCTTGGAGGGCCTGAGGGTGAGTACATTTTAAGCAAATTGAAATTTTTGGGTGAACTATTCCTTTAATTGTCTGCCAAACTAAAAATATCTATTTAAGGTAACAATTGCACAGTGATTAACAAAAGATTATACATACAGTCTCTTAATAAGTGACAGTGTTGTGAAATGGGAGTCGTCAGCACCATGGATAATGCATGACAGCTTGGCAAACTTTCAGCACCTTGGAGAGCGACAGTATCTGAGGCCAGAATGTGAAGCAGGGATAGAAGCTATGGCTTTTCTAACAAAAAGGCTTTTTCTAGCTAAATATAGCTATACATTGCTTTAACTGAACTGTTGGCAAGTGGGAAATTTGAGCACTGCTGAAATCTGAGAAGCACAGAATATGCCGTGTAAACCTTCTGTCAACATTGCAGAGTAATTTCGACTCTCTCGTCTTCCAATGAAGAGTGCAGGGCTGAATGACAATGCAGTGGCTATTGAGTTCTACTGACAGTGTCAGGATATAAATGGATGTCCCAAAATCATTTGGTTCATGAAATTAGATGGAAACACAAATTTGGTAAGATATATCATTGTTGTAGATTTTGTCTTTTGTTTGCAGTATACAAATAAAGAGCTGTCCCAATAGTATAATAGTGTATAATTAAGCAATATCACACTAGCAAATGTTGTTGCTCTGAAATGGGATACAGGCTGTGGTTACTAGCACTGCACAGACTGAAAGCTGGTCTTGAACAGAATAAATGAGTGGAGTGACTAAGACTTTCTGCTCAAAACTTTCTATAATTATGGATCCAGCTCCAGACAACTGTCAGAATGTGAAATCCTTATAAAACCCTTACAAGTCCTTATAACTCTGTATTTATATTGCTTTCATACATCTTTGTGCCATTTTTAACATATTTAATTTAATAACTAAAAATGTAAAGTGGTGAAACCAGTGATGGAATATATGTGTGTAAACAAATTATATATAAAATAAAATATTATAAATAAATTACAATATAAATAAATAAATATGAATACATCAATTACATCAATTACATATGTAAAATTATCAGGAATTTTGAGTTAAACATTTTAAGAAGTTTATTAAGACGTTTTTAAGGGTTTTTCCATTTGGCCTGAACAAATATTTAAAAGAAATATTTGATAAAAAACAAAAGTTTCTAAAATATGAATTTTTTAATAATCTTCACCACTAATATTTTTTTTTTACTTTAAAACCAGCAAAAAAAAAAAAAAATATATATATATGTTTATATACTTAATTTTCATTATAGAAAGGGTGTAAAAAAAAAAGAAAAAAAAAACCGATACGTCATCGGTCCTACTAAATATGCATGTTTGTAACGTCGGTTTGACCAATCAGATTTCAGGAGCGGAACTAATGACACACTACTTTTAGAAAGACACATATGAGGACAGTCTTGTGCTTCAGGTGTCCAGTAGCCAATCCTAGGCTTTCTTCGGCAGGCGTGCAGAACCACAGCCTTCGGCGCTAGGATCCAGAAGGCAGGGCTTTGATTTCCCAACTAATTCCTCTGGCAAAACACGAAACGCTCATATGCACAACTTCCTGGTTAGAGAAGCGGACCGCGCTGAATGTGATCGCAGACTGACTTTTTAGATGCGCGAGAGCGAGGCGCCGCACACAAGAGGAACTGAACGAGCGCGAGCGTCTGAAAGTGCGTCCGGTTGGGATTAATTTGAGAATGCAAAGAGAATGTAAAGGACGCCTCGGAGAGCAAGAAGTGTGTGCGGATTGTGGGCAGTCCGAAATGTCCCACGAAACAGGCACACGATTTGTCGCCGGTCATTGAAATCGCCTCGATCACTTGTCATTATTTTGGTTAGTCAAGTTAGCGTGTTTCCTTCATTGACGCTCAATTTGATCCGCCGTTCCGTGTCGCTCTAATCGCGCGTTTGGACATGTGGAGACTGCAAGGATCGTGTCGTGTGGGGATGTTGTGTTTGACTTTATCAGCCCTTCTCATCCAACCCATCAGCTGTCATCCCGGTAAGAGAGGCCTTTGTGGTTAATATTTTATGATATGAACGGTGATTGTGGGATATTTTTTTTTAAATGCAAAAAGTTGTGTTGAATGAGCAGGTGCGTTCAGAGATCATAAGGCATTTAGAGTGATCGTGCATGTTTAAGGCAAATAGTGCCTTGCAAATCAAAAGGATCTTAACTGTAGATGCTGCAATTCAGTATTTAATAGGGTGCATATGATTCATGAAGGTCAGTTTCGTAGTCCTCTGCTCTGTGGCAGAAGTAAAGGCTTTAGGAATATCTCGGATGGTCTCACGGACTTGTTCCCAAGCTGATGTCATCCAGGCTATGTGGAAGGTGTCCAGAAACTCCCAAGATTTTGAAGAGGAAGTAGTTATTATTATTTAATTAATTTGTTTTTCTTTTGAATGTAATTGATTTGTATTATTTTTATTGTTTTATTTGTATTGTATTTATTTGTACATTGATCAGTGTAGCTGAATTGAAATGTGCTTTATAAATAAAATGTACTTATTCTATTATTTAGATTTTTTAATTAAAATGTAATTACATTTGACTTTTTAAATGTATGGCTTCCTTATATCAGCCTGCGGGATTGACGTTTAGAAATGCTTCTCTTATAATTTGTGCATATACAATTAATCTGAATTGTAGGACAATGCTTACGTTTTTAAGATGTTGTTCATACAGGTTGTGAGCAGGTGTACTGTTAAAGGTTTTCATTATTACAAAAGCATCTTTATTTTCCACCCATTTAACCTGTCGCAGTAATTTATGTGATTTGAAATTTGGTACCACTTAGATTTTACGCTAATATCTGCCTTAAATTAAGTTTTTCATTTTTTTTTCAGTGAATATTTTTAACAGTGATGAAAAAAGCAGCTTAAACCAGCATAAGTTGGTTCGCTGGTTTGAGCTGGTCTCCCAACCTGGCCAAGCTGGTATTTAGCTGCCAGCCTGACCATCTAAAAATACCAGCCAAAAGAGCATCTTGACTGGATGGGAAGACCAGCTAAACCATCTTATGGACCCTTTGATCAAACATAACTGATGTATAGAATCTAGTTTAATTACCATTGGTTTTCCTAACTAGGGTTGTATCCACCATAGACATTAAAGGGAACTATTGAATGTTCTTATTAGTGGTTGACCAATATCACATTTGGTTCCCATTAATATGTGCCTATATTTTCATCCCTAACCACTTCTGGTCATGTGATGTAAGAATATGATTTTAATTGTTCTGCATTATCATTGTCATCACATTACTAATGTACTGAAACATTATGAATCATATCAGCAATTACAGCCAAGACAAGTAGTTCTCTTTAAGCGTCACATATGCCAAATTTCCCCTTTAGACTGTGGCTCTTGGACACTCTTGACATCATGTGAGCTTAATGAGCATAGTAAAAAAAAATCCAAGCAATGGAACATGATAACAAATTGAACACACCAGACATTTTCGCCACTGCCGAGGCGGCACTGAAATTAATAGAAATATAGGCTTGGAAATGTGTTGGGCCTTTATTACTCATGGATAATAGCCTTAGCAGATGAACGGAACATGGCGGACATCGCAAATCAGTGTTTCCTTTTCCTGTCCCAGCCCTCATTAGCTTTTATTTGAGGACAGACACTCGCTTTTGTACACTGTCACAGATCCCATCCCTATATTTCTATTAGTGGTATCATATTTCAATAGCTGACAGTGAGCTGAGATGGTCAACATGTAGGGCAATGGTTAAACCGCAAGTTTATGGTAACAGCCTGTTACATCAGCTTGCGTAATGGTTTATGGGGAGATGTTACATTTGACATCAAAATCAGAACAGATGTTTTATTCTTATTGAAGACAGGCTGGCCACTGGGCATCGGCGTTCAATGATAAAACTTTCTGGCCAAAGACTGTTCCCCATGTCTTCCCCCGAGCTGATCAGAAATGAAAGAGCACTTCATTATTTGGTTCAGGAAGGGCTGGGACATCCGATTATGTAATTCTTTTTGTTTCGGAATTCCATTTGAATTATATATTGTTTGTGTGGCTCTGATTTTGCTACCATTGTGGTGACCAAATATATAGCAGCTTAAAACATACACCACTGGTCAAAAATTAGGAATAAATATGATTTTCTAATGTTTTTAAAAGAAGTCTTTTATGATCACTAAGGCTGCATTTATTTGATAAAAATACAGTAATATTGTGAAATATTATTACAATTGAAAAGAACTGTTTTGTATTTTAATATATTTTAAAATGTAATTTCTTCCTGTGATGGCAAATCATTACTCCAGTCTTCAGTTATGCATAATAATATTGCTGCTCATTATAATAATAATAATATTGCTGCTATTATGATTAATGTTGTTAAAATGGTTATGTTATTAAAACTGTTAAATGTTTTTTTGCTGCTTAATATTTTTGTGATTTCAAAAGTTCGGGATAAGATAAAAAAATTTCAATAATGAGCAAGGATGCATTCAATTGATCAAAAGTCACTGTCAAGACATTTATAATTTTGAGAAAGATTTATATTTCAAATAAATGCTTTTCTTTTAAACTTTCTATTCATAAAAAATTCCTGGAAAAAAAAAAGTATAATGGTTTCCACAAAAATATTAAGCAGCCAGACAGTTTTCACCATTGATAACAACTATAATAACCACTATTAATAATAGATCTCCAATAATAATTGAGCATCAAATCAGCATATTAAAAAATGACTTCTGAAGGATCATGTGACATTGAAGGCTGGAGTAATGACGCCGGAAATTCCGTTTTGCTGCACAGGAATAAATTGCATCATAAAATATATTAAAATAGAAAACAGTTATTTTAAATTGTAATAATACTTCACAGTATCACAGTATTACTGGGCATTACCACAGTGAATCACATGCTTTAGTTCACATCCGAGCAGGTTTTGTGTCAAATTTAATGCGCACTCTCGAGCTACTACCTGCTCCTGAGCATTTGTAGATGTCTTTAAACTTATATCAAATGCATAGTTTAAACTTTTCATTTATGTGTTCTTTTGCGCTTGCAAAATAAGGTCAAAGATCTCCAAACACTGTGGGGAGCGTCTATCATCTCCTGGCCGACACCACAGGAAGCTTCTGCTTGACACCAGTATCCATCAAGGGCCTCTTGTCAAAAGACACTGGATTTCTAATGCTCTACCTTGCCCTTCAGTCTCTGTTGCCGCACTCTCGCTCTCCTCTAATGAGGAGTCCTTTCCTGTGTGATTGAAAGGCAGTCGGTGCTATAAAATCAGAAATGAAGCCCTCTACTCCTCTGCCATTCTTATCCACCCATCACCAAAATCCTGACCTGCATACAAAGAGCCTGTTAAGCGTTTAATTGAAAGCAGAGAGTAAAAATCAATACGCAGGAAGCTTTAAAAATAACGGGAAGCAGTGATCCAGATCCATATTTCATATCCACAGATGGGTGTAACTTTTACATATGTCACTGGCTCACTTTAGCGTACATTTTACAGTCTTTTTAAACTAGATTGGTGTTTGACTGTGGGCAAGTGCTTTAATAGAGTGGTTTAAAGTTTTAGCTCCCTGGATGATCACTCCTGTTGTAACATGCATTTTAGACTCAGATATGTCTTGTTCTGTGAATAAAACGCTGGCATTTCGCCCCACTGTTTGTATTTCAAGTATGAAGCAGTGATGATTTGATGAGATGCCTTAAGATATGGTATGGGATTCTGAATTCTGTTGTGTCTTATTCTAGGATTCTGAGATGTGTGTGTGCTTGTTTCTGCTTCGTCAGCAGTATGTTGTCAGCGGGGAAAAGATTCAGGAGGGACGTCTCTCCTCCTCCCATCTCGGGCCTTATTTTGCATAGTCATTTTTGTCATTTATTTTTATTTGATCATGATCACATCACATCTGGCATTAAAATCCAAACAATTCTAAAATGCCTACATGATATTTTCAGCTTACTTGTAGGAAGGGACAGTATACATTTTTGCAGATAAGTAGATCATTTCTATCATGTTATGGCTGCTAAATATTACAGTATTAATTTACAAAGGTCATTTTTTTGGGGAAAGAAATTAATACATCTATTCAGCAAGGATGCATTAAATTAAATCCCATTTCAAAGAAATGCTGCACTTTCTTTGAATCGAAGAATCTTGGAAAAAAGTATCACTGTTTCCACAAAAATATTAAGCAGCAAAAAAAAAAAAAAAAAGATTTTCACATTTGTGATAGTTTCTTGAGCATCAAATCAGTAGAATGATTAGAATGATTTTTGAAGGATCAATCACAGGAATAAATTATATTCACAATATTGCTGCCTTGGTGAGCATTAGAGACTTCTTTCAAAAACATTTAAAAAAAATCTTACCAACCCCAAACTTTTGAACAGTATTTTATTGTGCATCCATACTTATTTGTGTTTTTTTTTTAATTTATTGTAAAATTGAAAAATATTACAATATACTCCTATTGATATACTTAGGTTTTAAAATATTAAAGTTCAATGCAGAACTTGTTCTGCACCATTGAAAGATACTCCAATTGTGTAGGTAGTTGAAGTGCTCAATATGTGTGATCACATTTATAAGCTATTAGATGATTTTCACCTGCTGGATCATAAAATCCCTTCCCATTGAAAGAGGGACTCTAGTGAATATCATACAGACTTGCAGGTAGCTCTTTTTACTTCTACTAATAAGTGGCCACTTAGCAACCACCCAGCACATCTTAGCAATGGCATAGCAACACTTAAAAAAAGCACCCTAGTATCATGGTGGCAAGTTCTGCACTCCCATTTTCTAAAAATCAGAGTCTTCCAGTGCATCAAACAGTGTAGACATGTCTTTTTAATGACTGCAGTATTGCGGTTTTGAAGACGTCCTGCTTTTTCTCATGAATTATCTTCTGTATTCTGTTATCCACAGCAATATTGCAAATTTTATTTTAATTAGTGCTTCAAAAGGCGAAGAAATTAGCAATTGTGTAACCTGCTCCCTATTTGAGAC